AGAACAAAAGAGAATGAAAACTTTATATTTTCTAATAATACTGTGGCTTTTAATTAGTATTTTATTTTTTCCAGGACTTTGTCTCTCTCTCTCTCTGTGTGTGTGTGTGTGTATGTGGTGTAAATACTTGCCCCAAGATAAAAATTTCCTATATTATGAAAAAACACATCTAGATAGAATGACAATACATATAGAAAAAAGTAGCAGTGTTTTTTGTATGCACTCCAGGTGATTTAGCTTTATTTCAGCAGAGATTATAAAGAAAGTATAAGAATTGTGACAAATATCAGCAGTAAAGAATCTCATCAATGATGTTATCTGGCCTGTAGAAAAACAGAGCAGTATATTTAAGTGCTATTTGTCAGGAAAACATAGCCATACTTTACCTTTCATTCAGAACAAAAAAAAGAAAATAGGTTCAGACAAATTATGCAAAAAATCATAAGCTGTAATACAAGAAATATTCCATTTGATAGACATTAGATTTATGAACATTAAGTTCATCAATAAATTCAACAAAAGTATCAAAATCCCCAAGTTTTTCATAAGGACATCAGTATTTCTCAGTGTCGGAGGGTGGACTGCAAGCAGGCAGTGATGTTTCACTCAGTATCACTGTAGCACCTATTCCTTTTAATTTGTTCTTCCACAGTGAGTTGCTCAGATTGTACCTCCATGTTGGTAAATGAAGACTTAGCTGCACATTCACTGCTCAGTGCATCAAGACTTATGTTTCCATTGCCGTGGGCTGCTTCTATTGTTTCCCCATGCCAATGGTTAACGTCTTTCCCAAATTCTCTCAAATACATACATGGCATGTTTTTAATTTGATCTACAGAATCTATTAAATTATGCTCAAAAATGTTCTCATCTTTCTTGCAAAAAGCAGCGATTTTCACAGTGTTGGAAAAGAAGAAGTGTAAATTTTTGTTACTTGAGTGATTTCCCCTGATGTTTAAAATGTTTGTATCGGAAGGAGCTATTGAACATTTCCCCTTCCCTCTTAGCCCACCATGGAGGCCTAGTTTTGGAGCAGACTGCACAGGACTGCCAGCAGTAGCTCTGTGAGTCTGTTGATTGAGAGCCATAGCTAGTACATTCCTCGAATAAGTCTTTTCAGATTCAAATATACCAAGTAACTCTGAAATTCTAGATGCATTTTCTAACTTTTCAACTTCATATTCACTTGAAGAGTATTTTGCTTCGCTCGGCAGTGGTAATAGACTAGGGAACTCTAAAATTGATGTCTTCTGCCTACAATTATTCAGATGTGAGACTGCTACATAATTGTTATTATTATTCTTATTTAAATTCTCTTTATGATATTCCAGCACCACCTCATCATCGGTGTTAGTAACCTGTAAAACTTCTGCACCATCAGGTTCATTAATTTTTTCATCTTTCTCCTTTTCTGCACCTTCCAGAACCACATTATTGTTGTCATTAATGTCTATTTCACTTTTCCTTTTATTCTTTGTATCTTTAACTTCATTTTTATTTCCCTCCTGCTTCTCCTCCTTTCTTGCTTCATGGACTTTCATTTCTTTGATTCCTATAACACCTTCTTTCTGACACATAAGAATGGACTGCAGGTACGGCTGTAGGAAAGAAAAGTTATCTTGCTCTTGTTCATTATTTTCCAGAGGTTCAGCACACTCTATCAGTGACTCACTTTGAATTTCAGAGGGTATAGGTGGTGTTATTTCAGGTGGCCATTTAGGTTTATTCATTTTGAGCTCTTCCTTAAAAGGGAAGGTTTTCTTGGGTATTTCCTTGGAAGGGGGCCAAATGATTTTTAATTTTCCCCTTTCCCCTAATTTTCTCAAATCATGCTTTTGCTCTTCACTGTTGACAGAATCTAAATGCTTAAGATCTCCAAGTATAGGAGGGCTTCCTGTATTATTTTTACACATATTTGTTTCTGGATTTGGAATAAAATCTACTGAGCTACTTTTATCTTTGCAATTCCATCTATCTTTATGCTGTTTGTGTCCAAAACCTTCGTCATAATTTCCTTTAGATTTGAAGAGTTGCTTAAAGTGAGGTTTACAATATATTTTTCCATGAAGTGATGCATAATTTCCCAAACTGCCAAAAAGAAAAAATATATATATTTAGCATTCTGAACATTAATGGAAAATTCATAGGGAATTATTTTATAATGAATTAATCAGTACAATTAACATGCTGAGAATAGGAATAACCTTATTAATTAAACATTCCTATTAGATAACTGTTACTACCAGTACCCCACATGGTGTACATCTTACAGTTTTCAGTATTTCATGATGTAAATCAGGTGTTGAAATAATAGGTATTATACATGTATGTGTAGATATAGATGACATAAAATAATAGGCCTGAACCTGTGCTAAGTCAATGATTTATGGGAGGGGTTGCAATTTACAATAAATTGTGAATAACACACACAACAAAATCACTTATTTAAACTTCTTAGTTAACTGGATTTTGAATGAATTGGAAATCTTGCTTAAGCAATATTTATCTGGCCTTTCTAGGGAGATCAACAAATAGAGTGCTTGTTAAAATTAAAATCAAATTTAGTGGGAAGCAGTAGGGTGGTTTTTTAATATCTCTGCATCTCCACATAACAGGGGAAACTAGATAGAAAAAATTAAAACCCATGGATAACATTTATAACAATTTATAATTAAGTGACCAGGGATCGATTGCCATCAACTCCAAAATAAAAGCAAAGAAAACAAGCCTACATCAGCCACACGACTTGCATGATAGTAATATCTGCTTTATAGATCTCAGAGGGAGAAAAGAAGATGTCTAATAGACACCTTCTGTATAAAAATATAAGACTCCCAAAGATATAGCCAATGTTGACTAGAAAGTATCACATTCCAATCAGAGAACAGCAGCAGAAACTGGGAGGGTTTTTTCTCTCTCCAATAGCCAATGAGTGCAAGAGGCCTGTGCTAAGAAAAACTGAAGAGGCTAGGGCAGCCAAACTCTCAAAACTGATCTTCTGAAGCCCATATTTAAAACAGGGTCTCACATTGAGGAAATAATGTGAGAGTGAAATCAAATTGTGTGGGATAATGACAACAAAAATGAAAGAGAAGGTCCTGACCAACATGGGAAGAGGAATCAAGCCAGGAAGTAGCAGAAATCAAGTCTCCATATGTTCTTGAACAGCATATGGAAACAATAGACAATATTGTCTAAATAAAAGAGGGAGCTCTATGAAGTTAGACAAGCCATTCTAAATTTCACTTCCTTCAGAAGTTTAGGAAAACTAATTTCACATAATAATGAGCAACAGAATAATATCAAGGTAAAGTCTATATGAGAAGATTATAAGAAAAAAAAAAAATAATGCAAAGAGCATGGTAATGTCCCTGCAGACAAAGAAAACATGTCTGAAAATCATCTTCAAGACCAGGGCTTTAAAACTGGTTTGAATGAGTTTAGTCTTGCCTAAGGAAGCAAAGCCAGAATAGATGTACATTTTTAACATTTAGATGATCCAAAAGATTAAGTGGAACAGGAAACGTTACAGGTCAAAATCCTGGAATGGGAGACTCAAAAGATGTGTTCTGACCCGTTTTAGGAGCCTGATGCAGGAGACTAGATTATTGCCAGGACCGAGGAAAGTAGATCACTTTCAAAGCATCATGGTGGTCACCAATTTTGTGCTGGGCACTGCAATTTTCCATGTAGCCAGTCAAGAGAGTTGATTGCTATGCAATGCACACACTGCCCTTGTTTTCTAGGAGAGATTAAACTTTGACCTCTAATGTTTCCCACTTCACTGAGCATTCTGGTTCACCCACATTTTAAAAATTCAGGAATGTTCTAGTGTTGCTTTGTTGGCCATGATTGAATCAGGCTAAGCTGGTTTAAAGCCCTGCTCAAAAGAAGTCAAAACTTTAATCTACAATTTCAAAATGAGTGAAAAGGCAGTAAGATCATAAAAAAGGCCTGAAAGGACAACATGAATAACAATTAGATAATCTCATAAATGAAGTGACAGAAATCAGGAAAAAAATAGAAAAAAAAAAGAGAAGAAACCCATATCAGCAATAAAAACTAAGCTAAAAGAAGCACAACAGCAAACAAACACAATAAAAAGTGTCTTGAGAAGAGATACAAAAAAATAAGATGAAAATTTAAAAAAATAAAACTTAAATGAGGAAAGGTAAGAAGGATTAGGGAGAAGCAGACTAATATTAGAGACAGGCAAAATGTACTCAATGTACGTATGATAGGAGTTTTGGAAGAAGAAAATTAAAACAAGTAAACAAGTCAAACACTAAAAAGGTTATAATTAAAAAAATCTTTCTCGATATAAAATGTTTGAAACCACATAGGTCAAGAGCACACTGCATAACTGACACCATCAACCTGCAATGGCAAATACTAAGAAATATTCTAGTTAATTTTCTAGATTTAAAGAAAAAAAATTCTTTGCACATCTAAAAAAAGAGCACATGAATTATAAAGGAAAGAAATTTAATATTATCAGACATTTTATAGCAATATTTTATGCCAGAAGGAAATGGAATAATGCATTTAAGATACTCAAGGGAAGACTTGACCATTCTTGGGGTCAAAAAAGGCTTCTATGAAGATATAAAATCTAAGTTGAGGTCTGATGAAATGAAAACAATTATTATGCCAGTAGAAAGCTGAGGCAGTGTTACGGATATATTACACAACACAGAAAGATATTCTGAAGTCCTAACCTCCAGTGCCTATGAAAGTGACTTTTGTTTGGAAATAAAGCCTTTTAAGATGTTAACAGTTAATGTAGATCATATTGGAGCAAGGTGGGCCCTAATGTTATTTGAATGATGTCTTATAAAAGAAACAGACACAGAGACAGATATAGACAGAGGGAGGATGACCATGTGACAAGGAAGGAAGATGCAGCTGCAAGTCAAAGAATGCCAAAGAATGTTTGGGCTACATATGACAAAAGCATTTACCTCAGTTTACTGTTGCAGTGATGGCATCGGAAGCAGAATTTATGAAAACTCTGCTTGTCTGCTACTAGACATTCCATTGGATAAACTGTCTTTTGACAAAGTATACATATTTCCTTGTCTTGGAGCAGCAGTTTCTAAAAATAAAATAAAATAAATTAAAATTACTTACATGGTATGATATTAACACACACACTGCCGTTGAGGTGGACCTGACTCATAGTGACCCCTCTTTGGGTTTCTGAGGCGGTATTACTATGGAAGTAGATTGCCCAATCTTTCTTCCGAGGAGTGGCTGGTGGGTTTAAACTGCCAGCCTTCTGGTTAGCAGTCAAATGCTTAGGCACTATGCCACCAGAGCTCCCTGGTATGATATTACATCATGTAAAAATGTAACAGAACAGAACAAAACCAATACCACAGTAATTGGCCATGCGTTTAATGTCAAAAGTTCTATTATTGTCTCAACAACCCCACAATAGCTCTCCAGGCATAGACAATTCTGCCCATCAGGTTTAGGGCTCTGGTACAATCAGCCTTAGTCTATTGTCTCTACTGTTTATGAATTTGAGGAAACATAGATGAACAAATATGCTAATTAAATTTAAAATATTAAATATATATATATATACACATACACAGATATATATAGTAAACTATGGAGACCATTGAGAGAATTTATCATTCTCAATTAATGAACTTTCTAGATCACTGCCATTGAATTGATTCTGACTCATAACCCCCATTGGGTTTCTGAGGCAGTAAATCTTTATGGAAGTAGATTCCATCTGCGAAGTGGCTGGTGGGTATATAAGGGTTCACATCTAACTTGGTTCAAAGATTTTATTTTACAAAGCATTCTGGACAGAACTTTCTAAACTACAGTTGCTCCTCATTATTCACAGATTCCATATTTGTGAATCTGCTTACTTGTGAAAATGTATTTGTAAGCCAAAAATCAATACTCAGAGTGTGCTGTGGTCATTTATGAACATGTGACGTGTGTAAAGTAGCAGACATTGAGTCTCCAATGCACAAAGTTGGTCTGGTATTCACTTGTTCAGTGTTTACAAGGAATTTATAGAACATAATCGCCATGTATAATAAGAATTAACTATATGATATATCTTTTAAAAATGAGAACACTGTGTTTGGTTAAATATTTTCCTGATGATTATGGTTGCTTCCGTGATACCAACTCTTACTTAATTGTAATGTAATAAACCCACTGCCATTGAGTCAATTGCAACTCATAGCGACCATATCGGACAAAGTGGAACTACCCTATAGAGTTTCTAAGGATTTTAATCTTTACAGAACCAGACTGCTTCATTTTTCTCCCATGGAACAGCTGGTAGATTCAAAACATCAACCTTTGGGTTAACAGTCAAATGCTTTAACCACTGCACTACCAGAACTCCTTGAAAAAAAATAGTATTCCTAAATACAATGAACTGTTTAGGACCACTTGTCCTCCATTTAAATGGCTTCAATTATAGTGCTTATTAAATTCTCATGTCTTCTCTTTTTTTTAAATAATTTTTCTGCCTCTTCCTTTACTGTAAACTACCTCTAGTCACTTCTTGCTGCTGTCATGTCATTGCTAGCCTCTATGAATAACAGCAATTATACTACTACTCAGTGTTTGCATGGTAGTTCAAAACTGATATGAAACTTGCACTTCTGTATTGCTTTTGATTCTCAAAATGTTCCTGTAAGAATAACCAAGCTTTTACATATTTTATATGTAAAATAGAATATATTTGGGGTACTGAGAGATCTCCTTTGCTTATTTGGTTCTTAGTAGGAGACATATTTCTATATTTAACACCAGTTTCTTTGTATGTTCTATGTGATGTTGAGTTATCTTAACAAACTGAACATTTGAAATTAATTAGACAGTTTTGCTTATTTATTCCAGAAGCAAGCCCATTAAGAACCCATCTTAACCTGCTACACTAGACACAGATGTTGCAAAAATGATACAGGCATAATTTTTGGTTTCAGCAGTTTTTATTTCTGAGCTTGCTATTTCTTTCCATCTGTCTAAAATAATGGAGTAAACTAATGATGCTCATTAATTATGTCAAATCTTATATCTAGAAACCTCATTACTTGCAAAAACAGAAAAATATAAAAACTGAACTGTTGCTTGATGCTTAAGAGACTGTACAAAGTTTATATGTTTTAAATATCTCTCCTTCCACACATAATCAAATTTTAAGAATGTATTGTCCATATTCATCTGAGTAAGGCCAATTAGAGCTTTCATTGGGGGTCTATTTTCAGAAAGGTTAAAACAAACAAGCAAGCAGTAGTATTAGAGAAAGCCAACCATATGCAAAACAATAACAATAAATGTATTAAAGGTCTAATTTCACATCTACACTTTGTTAGAGTCACGAATCAATGAAAAACATTATAGCACATATGAAGAGTGTAAAATGTTTATTGGATTTGTAAATGGAAAGTTTCAAATTGGAGGAACTTGTGTCAGATATAAGAGTGATAGGGCAACATGCATTCCCAGGAAGCAAAAGGTCAATATGTAAACCATTTGTTCTTGGGAAGAATGTGTCAAGATGGAAGCAATTTGTTCCCAATATGTTTAATACTGCAATCTTGTATAACCAAGCCAAATGACATCACTCACTTAGGTGGTAACTCACTCCTTCCTAAATATGTGGCCTACCTCTGCATTTCAAAGGACTTCCAGCTAAAGCTGATTTTTTCAATCATTAAACCCCTATCTTTCCCTGATTCTCTAAGTAGATAGACCCTTCTTTCTGTTTGAATGTTGGAGTACTTTGTATTGTCACTTAGCACTGCCTACCTCAAGCTGTAAAATATTCTTCACTAAAACTCCTTTTCTTTAACTCCTAAAAAAGAGTATGAGAGTTTCTTTGTTCACACTTCTGGCATCAGAAGAAGGATTTCAAAGGTGAATTATCTTTCCCTATACCTGAGGCATTAGGACAGAGGCATGGTATGTGCTGTGATGCTTTGAGCTCTCTGCTTCTGCAAATTCTTGGAAAAAAACCCTCAAATCCATGCTCTGTTCCCTTGTGTTGATTATTATTCAAGTTTTATTGTGGATTTGCTTTGGTTCTTGCAAGCAAAATTTGCTTGTTGTAACTGTCTTTATAAGATGGGAAATGCCACATCTAAAGGGGATTTGGAACTGGGTTCTGGGACTCCTGCACACTACATTAACAAGCATTATTGTCCTTCATCATGCATTTTCTTGTCTGGCTAGCATAACCTCACTCGATACAGTGAAATCAGTGGCTACTTTGGGGTTCTTTGATCTAAGTTATCTTTTCTGTGCAGAAATTTAGAGACCCAAGCCTCTTGAATTAAACAGTCCCTGTGGGAAGCCTATTTTTATTGGTATATTGAATCCTCCAAAAGACATCAAGATAGTAAAACTATTTCCCTGAAGGAAACTGACTCTAAATTAACTAAACAGAAAAAAGAATTACAATGTCAAATTTCAGCTACCACTTTTCTGCTCCCTTGATGGATGCTAAATCTTTATACCCTTCTTTGTTTTCCTACTAAACTGATAACAATTTATTTGAACTTTTACTGTTCCTGAGAAAGAAAAAAAAAAAGCAAATAAACTGCCTAAATTACCCCTTAAAATTCACCCTTGCAGTAATGCTAAAGCACTTTTGTCCTGTGGACATACTCAGAATTATGTAGCATTGTTAAAGATTTTTCCAAACTCCATGAAAACCCCAACAAATTTCCTGAAGATCTTTTAAATCCTCCTTGGATCTTACCAGCCTGGACTCCCCACTTATATCAGCTTGTTCACATGATCACTGGACCAGTGGAAGCTCAGCTACGGCTGGAACAGGCAGAATGGAAAGACTCCAAGGCCACTTTACCCTTAAATGTTGATAAAATGGCCATCAAGCTTTTGGAAGACTTTTGGGCCATGAGAAAAAGAAAAATGCTTGTGGCTTCCCAAAATTTCTCTCTAATTGATTGGACTAAAATTCACTCTTGTAAGCAATATTAAGATGATATTATTGATTATTATCATTATCCATCCTAGCTGCTCTAAAAATTTCCTAAGTACTCTAGACTCAAGTTGACTATTCCTGGTGACTTGGCACTTTCAATACTGTTTTCATATCGAGTCTTAAATCTGAAATCTCAGCTGAGTAAAGGGACATCAATTAGAGTGGGAGACAATCCTATTGTCAAGCTATACAACCTTGCTTACAAACTTTCCTGGACTCTTGAAGATGGAATGGTTTCTAAGGCTGTTAATGGACCTTCAGTTGCAACGATCACAACACCTAGTCAAAAGAAAAAATGTTAAATCTCCCAAAAGCACAAAGGTAGGTATTTGTTACTATTGTAAAGAACAAATACTACAAATTAAAAAATAAACAAAACACTGGATAGCCCCTATTTTTAAAAAAAATCCCATAATCTGATTCAGAATGAAGGAGACAAAACAGACACTTTTCCTTTGGTGGCTCTGCAAAGAAAAATGACTTTACTTAGCAGTGAGGAATCTTGCCAGTTTTAAATTGACAATGGAACCACCCTCTCTGCAATTAGCCCTACTTGTTTACAAAATCCCCTACATCGGAGTAATAAAACCTCAAAAGTATTGGGTCACCAATCAGGAACAAATATTGATTAATTCACAGCCTGTTTTGATATCTCTTGGTTCTGTTGAAGATTTAAACCCTTTTTTTTTTTTTTTGCTCAATTCTGATACCCCTGTCAATCTGTTGAGAAAGGATCTTTTATCTGAATGGAATTATAATTTACAATTTAATGAACAGGGGTAAATATTATTGAGTCTGTTTGATCTTGCTAAGTCAACAGAGACAGGCTTTGTATTAGACAATATTCAGGAAGAAGAAGCCATTTGCTATATGCAAGCACTTGTCCTGTCTCTCCAGAATTTAACTCAGCTTAACCAAACTAATCAAACTCACTGCCATCAAGTTGATTTTGACTGGTAGCGTCCCCTCCTTGGGTTTCCGAGGCACTATCACTATGGAAGTTTATTGCCCAACCTTCCTTCTGAGGAGTGGCTGGTGGGTTTGAACCACCAGCCTTCTGGTTAGCAGTCAAATGCCATAGACACTACACCACTGGAGCTCCTTAA